CGTTATGTTTTGTGACATATCGGGATTGTTTTGCCATTGCCGGCAATGGGGCGGGTATGGCTTCCGGGTGACACGTCCGGCCCGCGGGCTGATCATTTGACACCCCTAGTTTAGCGGTTGTCTCCATTGTTTCTTCTGTGATAAATACCAGGTCATCTGCAAATGCTTGTAATTTATAGCTTTTGTCTTTTATCTCCATTCCTTTCATTTCTGAGTTAACGGGTATCCTTGTCTTGTGCCTTTCTTTATGTTAAAATTCCCTGTATAGTCCCCATTTACAATTACTTTTGCTGTTTGCTTATGATGTATTGTCTGAATTAATGTATCTTGAAAGCATTTATAGAATTCTACAGGTAGTCCATCCGGTCCTGCAGTTTTATCATTTTTTTGTCTTTTTATAGCTTCTATCAATTCCATCATTGTTATTTTTTCGTTTAGCATGTTTTTAAAGTTTTCTGGAATTTTTGGTAGATTGGCTTTTTCCATATATTGTGTTGTTTTTTTTCCAGAGAGATTTTTTTCTATATCATATAGTTTTTCATAATATTCTTTAACTATTTTTATTGCCTCATTTTGGAGTTGCACATCTCTCTTCTCATCTTGCAATTTGTTTATCAACTTTTTCTCTCTCTTTTTTTTCAATTTGTAAGCCAGCCATCTTCCTGGTTTATTTGCATTTTCGAAAAAAATTGTTTTGCTTTTCTGATTTGTTGAGCCAACTCTTCTTACTTTATTAGGTTTAGTTTATGTTTAATTATCTCCATTTGTCTTTTAAGAGTTTTTTCTGGATCTTTTTGAAGTTCTAGCTCCAATTTTTTAAACTCTTTCCTTAGCGTTGTACACTGTGTCTTTTTCTCTTTATTCTTTTCAGCCGTATAAGTTATAGCTAATCCTCTGAAGTAAGCTTTGGGTGTATCCTGTATGTACTGGAGTGAAATGTCTTCTTTTTTATTTTCTTTGAAAAAGAATTCCATTTCCTTTACTACTCTTTCTGAAATTCTTTCTCCTTTAATAAGAGTTGATTCAATTTCCACCTTGATTTCTTCTTTACTCCTGTCCAACTCAGCTTTATCGGATTATGGTCAGCCCAAATATTGGGTTCTATCTCAACCTCATGTATATTAGTTCTTTTTTCGCCCCAATATTTTATTAAGTTTTATCGGGGTAGGGGAAAACAAGGATCGTTATGGGTAGTGGGATTCGGGATAGGGTTCAGGGAAGGGTTTAGGGTGGGAATTGTTACAACAATGGGGTTACCCCCAATAACATTCCACGCTTTAGCAAGCAAACTATCGTCCGGGTACAAGTATTCAACAGAGTTAATATAATAATAAGTAACTGTGGTGAACAAAAATAGCAAAGATTATAAGAATTGATTCCATGTCCACCTTGATTTCTTCTTTATTTCTGTCCAACTCAGCGTTCTCGGATTATGGTCAGCCCAAATATTAGGTTCTATCTCAACTTCAAGTATATTAGTTCTTAATTTAGGGGACAACCATATCATATCAATTCTAGACCATGATTTGTGTCTATTTGAATAAAATGTATTCTTCTTCTTGTGCCATGTCCTTTATTGGACATTGGCGATCATGTTGGTAATCCTGTTTTATCAGCAGCCGCACGAAAAAATGCTACTGAGTTTTGTCCAAACCAGTCCCTTAGATTTTGAAGCCACAATGTTCTTCTTCTGCCTGGACCTTGTTTGCCTTCAGTCTTTCCCTGGAGGATTAAATGGAGCATGCCGTATTTTTCTGGGTGTCGCATCACATGTCCGAAATATTCTAATTTTCGTTTTTTAATTGTTTTGATGTTTTCCCTTGGCTTTCCCAGGCGGCTTATCACCTCCTCATTTCTGATCTTGTCAACCCAGCTTATACGTAACAGCCGCTTGTAAATCCACATTTCAAATGCTTCTAGTCTCTTTAGGCGGCCTTCTGTCAGAGACCAACTCTCTAATTATAGAGCAGGATAGAAAAAATACAGCATCTGACAAGCCTGATTTTCAGTCTTAGGCTTATGTCGTGACTGCAGAAGACCTTTTTCATTTTGAAGAATGCTGTTCGAGCTTTCTCTATCCTAGTCTTTACTTCAGTAGTCACGTCCCAGCTTTCATGTAAATGAGAACCAAAATGTGTGATCCTTTCAACTTTTTTTAATGGTATTCCTTCTGAATTTATTGGTGGTAAATTAACGGGTTGTTTGCTGACGACCATGATCTTGGTTTTTGAGGTGTTAAGCTTCAAGCCATATTTTTCAGATATTTCTGTGACTCTGTTGATGAGGAGCTGAAGGTCTTCATGTTTACTGGCAAGCAGAACTGTATCGTCAGCATATCTTAAGTTGTTGATCCAAACACCATTTACTTTGATGCCAGGATCGATGTTCTCCAGTGCCTCGTTGAAGATTGACTCAGAGTAGATATTGAACAACAGTGGAGACAGAATACATACTTGTCTGACCCCTCTTCTTATTTCTGCATCAGCTGAGTATTTTTGGCCTAGTCTCACATTTGCTACCTGATGCCAATACAGATTCTTTATTATTTGGATGTCTTTGTCATCTAGTCCCCCTTGTTTCAGGATTTCTAATAGTTTGCTGTCTTATTTTATCAAAAGCTTTTTCAAAATCAATGAAGCACATGTAAACACTGTGATTGACATCTCTACAACGCTGTACAAGAACCTGAATGCTGAACAGCGCATCTCGTGTACCAAGATTGTTTCTGAAACCAAATTGTGTGTTACCTAGACGCTCTTCAATTTTGTTGTATATTCTTGTGTGAATTATTCTCAGGAATATTTTCAGGGCATGANCTCACTCCCAATATAGAGATATTGTATTTGGGCATTTCTTGGATAGTGTTGTGTGTTTTCCCAGCTTCGTATAGGCTTCTCAGATTCCACGTACCAATTCGTAGTTTTGGGTTTATCATGCTTCTAGCGGACCGGGAGATTCTTAGCACCCCTGACCCATTTAAGGGCTGCCCGTACTCGGGGCCATTGTTAGGTTTTGCCGCCATTAACATGATTTTCCTGGGAAATATATAGTGTGGTAATCTTCCCTTTGCTTTCTACACAATAAAATGTATACTGAGTCTTTTTTGGGTTCATTTCTCTCCTGACATTCTGTACGCAGATTTCTTCTGCCATTTTAACAAACACCTTAGATAATCTCTTTCTTCCTTTTTTCCCTATTTTACTACTTTTGTAATCTAATTTTTCATTCACAATTGTGTTAAAGCCTCCTACTAAACAAACATTTTGATGTTAAATTTCCAATATTTTCCTGTGTAGTTTTTGATAAAATATTTATTGTTTATTGTTTGGTGCATATATTGCTATTATCAACATCGGGTTTTTTTTATTTATCGTCATTTCCACCATTAAATAAGTCTACCTTTTTCCTTCAAGGTCCCTTCTAACTCTGTTATTCTGTTATCCACCAGTTAAAGCTGCCACATCTCTAAAATTAGCTCCAAAGCTTTGACTGTAAACTATTTTGGGACAATTTTCCAGCTTGAAAGACATAGATTTTCTCCATATATACTTTTGTAGGAGTGTGGATCTCTATCTGTATTTTTCTCTGTATGCATATATCTGGAATTATATAATCTATCCCCATCACTTCCAGATGTATTTGATGATAACCCTTTGCATTGCTAAGGATTTGTGATTGACCGAAGTCAACAAGAAATTTTACCCAAATCAACAACTGAATTTGATTGAATGGATATTTGAACATGGATGTTGGTAGTATTCCATGTAGCAGATGAATCATAAATAATGTAAGAGGTTATTCTATCATTGTGGCATGTTTGCTTTTTTATTGTAATGTATACATTTTTTCTTTTTTCACACCTCTCCCCATTTTATAAAAATTAAAGTTACACTTTTCTTTAAATCTTATAGAAAAGAGGATGGGAAGAAGAGCCCTCTGGACAGCTAAGAATAACAAGCAACATTGAAAAGGAAAGCAAACCGAGCCAGAAATCAAAATATTTTCCATTTCCTTCAGAAAACCACACAATTGTCCTTCTCCTCCAGCAGCTCTTAGAAAAAAAGAGAGAAAATCAAGAAAGATTTCAAACTGGAATAAGTAGATTACTCAGAACTCAAGGATACATTATATGAAAAGTGAAGGGAGATTATTTTTCATTCAGTAAAAGAGGGAAATATCTGGAAGTCAGTGGAGGAAAAGGTGAGTAGGAAAGTCACGTAGAGCAGAGAGCCATGCAGGCCTCGCCCTGTGAGGAAGAAAACGGATTGAATGAAAGCACCACTAAACAAGGGATTGTCCATATTTTTGACTTCCTCGAGAATATCAGCTGTGGAAAAGCTCCGTACTTGTGTCTATTGTTGGAAAAGCACATATTGCAAATCACAACTGATTATGCACAAGAGGAGCCACACAAGAGAAAAGCCATAAAAGCACTCCTAGTGCAGTAAATGTTTTAGTGAGCATGGCAACTTGGTGATACATCAGAGGATTCACAGCAGAGCGAAAACGTATGACTGTACTGATTGTGCGAAAGTTTCATTAGAAATTCCCATGTCATGAGGCACCATAGGACTTGCACAGGAGAGAAACACTTTGAATGTCCTCATTGTAGGAAAAGTTTCAATAGAAGTTCCCATCTGGTGATACACCAAAGGACTCACACAGGAGAGAAACCCTTCGAATGTCCTGATTGTGGGAAACGTTTCAGTGAGAATTCCTGCCTTGTGAAACACCAGAGGACTCACACA